AATCGTTTAATATTAGATTTGGTAAGGTTAGAAAATCTTGAAGCAAGTTATGGCTTTGCGCCGTTAGGAACGCGCGCCCTTTTGGATGTCCTATATTTGAGGGAAGAAAATGATTGGCATTAAAAAAGGAGGAAAAATAAATGATTGACAGCAAAGAAGGAAAATTAATTTAAGACTCAAATAGGAGTGGGGGTGGCTTATGAACAAAGTACCAAAATTTCTTCCTACCTTCCATGTAAACTCTTCTAATTCTTCTTTCTTTTTAACATCCTTTAAAACTAATTTTTGCTTATCCAATTTTTTCTTATTTTTGTCCAAAATTTTTACAAAATCCCTGGTTTCCTTAGCCATTCTCGTCAAATATTTTTTTAAATTTAAACGTTTAGTAGCCAAATCCATAACTCTTTCCCAAGTTTTTCTTCTAAATTCATCATCTTTTGTCAAAGTTTTTTTCATTTCTTCATCTAATTTTTCTTCAAAATCTTTTTTCACGTTATCAGTTTGTTTTCTTAAATTATTTTCTATTTTCTCTGTTTTTCCTTCATTTTTGTTTTCATTTTCGAATGGAAGAAGAGATTTAATTAAATTTGTTGTTTTCTTTAAAATTTACATTTAGACTCAATTTTGTGAATTATTTCGGCTAGAAACTCTGGAGCATTTCCATTAATACCAAATTTCTTTAATTTTTCGATTATTCCTTCCAAAGAAATAGGAGAATTTACTTTAATGGAAAAAAATTAAAATTTAATTATTTATAATAATATTAAAAATAACCCTATTTTTATAAAGAAAAATTATATTTCAAATATTTTTTAAAAATTTATTAAAATTTCAAACCAATTTCCATTGGGTGTCCATTTAATTCAGCCAATTTTATTTTCACTCTCAACAAAAATAATTTTCTCAGTTTATATTTGAGGTTAATCTTTTTCAATTTTTCACGTTTATTTTCTGCATTTTCCCCATTTTTGCTTGAAAATATTTTCGAAAATCCTTCCTTTTTAACAAAAAATCCTTCGTTTTGTATTAAATAATTATCTATATCTTTTGTGATTTCATCCTTTATTTCATTTAATTTCTCATCTTCAAGTAACGCAGATTTTTTAATTTTATCCTCATTATCAATCTCCAAAGCGGTAAAATGTAAAATTTTCCCGTACAAACCGCATTTTAGAATTTTACTCTTTAATTCAATGTTCGTCTCAAAATTGTTTAAAGCTTTGTTTAAGCTTTTTATATTTTTGTCCGACTAAAAACAAATTATTAAAATCAATTATTTTTAGCAGCAATAAAATTATTTGTTTAAAATATCAAGACATTTGGAATAAACTAATTATTAATCTTAATTATTTTCCTGTATGTTAAGATAATTATTCTAATACATAGAATAAACATTTAAACTTCACAAAAATTTGTAAAATTTATTTAATTATAGTAGAAATCTGCCCAGAATTTCTACCCCCACTTGAGTTATAAAAAGTCCACTTCTGAATATTGTGAAGGGACTCTTTCTTTTCAAATTTTCTGGATTTTGCGTCTTTTAGCAATATTAAAAGTCTTAGATCTCTGATCTTAAGTCGAAATTCGATATCCCAATCTTAATCAGTAAAAACTATTTTGTCAAAATAAACTTGTAATTAACATTATTATTTTTATATTTTTAATATTATTATTTAAAATTTTACAAAATTTAACGCCTCAGCTACACTTTTATTTATTAATTCATTATCTTTGACTCTTTCGAAATCAAGATTGCCAGTATTGTTCCAGTTGGAGACAATAGTCATATAATGATGAGTTTCCGTTAAACTCAATTTGTGCTTCTCATGATATGGTGCTAAAAGAGCAAATTAATATGGAAATAGGCCGATTCAACCAGATATCTTGTATCAAGGAGATATGAGGAGTATAAATTCTGGTAAAAACTTCCCAACAGTTATTGTCTGCTAAACTATCCCACTACCGACTATGATTAGATAATCTTAATTATTCCAGCAAATATATTAAATATTATTTACAAATTTCATTGATGAGCTCGCTAAACTTTTCTTCACTATATCCCGGCATTTCCGGTATTTTCTTCAAAAGGTCATCCTCTAAGTAGGATAAATTGAAGGTCAAATCTTCCTTCACTTCATTTTCTATAAATTGAAAATTATTTTTATCTTTTCACTTTTTATTTAATTCCGAACCTTTATAAAATGGTAATGCCAATTTTCCAATATTTATTTTTTTAAATAATGATTCTGGAATGGGTTTTCCCCACATTTTATTCCAAGTTTTTGTAACGGATTTATAAACCACGATCATAAATTTTGTAACGTTTTTTCCATATTTATAGGTTAATTTTTGCATTTTTGTATGATATATTTTATAAACTTCTTCGTTTTTAATTTCTCGGATTCCCTCATGAGGGGTTTTCATTTGTTCTATTGTTCGCTCAATGATAAGTCGAACCTGGAATTAAAAATGTGGAACAAGAAAATTTTGTTAAAAATATATTTGGGGCATTTTAGTTGGCCCTATTGACAAACGGGTTTCTTAATCTTCAACTATAGGTATATCAATCACTTACCATCTGTTTATTTTTCATATCGTCTGTACTCCACCACTTTTCTATTAATTCCGCTCCGAACTTATTTGCCGAAAAAGTTCCAGCAATGAAAGAAATAATCTCTGTTGGTGTATTAACCACAATTATAATTATTTTTTCAAGAACTTCTGGAATTTTTACTCCAAACAGAGCCGGAAAATACAAGGCGAATAATACAAATGAGCTTGTCAAAGCACCGATTCCCATTGAATTAATGGCCATTGCAGAAGTTTTTTGTATATCCATAGATGCTTCAATTTTTGATTTGATGTATTCTCGGAATGCAATATCTCTTTCCTTGTTTGTAATTATTGGAGATATTTTCGGGGTTTTAAAAAAACTAAAAAAGCGTTTCCAATCTTTTCGTTTCTTTTCAGCAATTCTCCGTTCCAACACAATTTTATCACCATCTGGTTTTGGAAGAAATCCTTGATCGTATAATTTATATAGGGCCGAACGTTGATGGTCACGCCATTCATTGAATTCTAGAGGTACCATTGGACCAGAAGTAGCTGTTGCTACCTGAAATTTAGAGAATATTTTGGTGTTTATTTTATTTAAAAAATAATTTCTAAAAATTCTTCTCATACAAGATTTGCCGGAACAGCGGGAAGTATTGAAGTCCATTGAGCATTTTCCGGAAACGATTTACTAATCTCTTCCATTGCCAGTAAGTTGTTAAAAAGAGATCCGCCAGCAGCTATTTTTCCTGCAGCGACTGCAACACTCATATTTTCATCAAAAACAGCCTTAGAACTTGGCCAAAAACTTCCACCATCGAATGAAATTAACAAACGTTTTATAACGAGCGAATCAAAAGTTTCTGATGCGCGGGGTGTCAACATGTAGAGGAACACTCCCACAGCATGAGCACAAGGAATGCATCCAGTCAGCGAAATTAATAAAATTATTGCCGGCCAAACACCAATATCAAGAACTGCTGAAATTAATCCAGAACCACTCAGACTTATTAACAAGGCATTCCAAAAGTCTTTAGTTAATTCTTTGGCGTTGTAGACAGATCCGAGTATTTGTGCTCCCATTTCGTAATTATTTATTTAAAAACAGAAAGTTATGAGGGATACAAGACTATAAAAATAAAATAATAATTATTATTTTGTTTGCAGAAAATTTATTAAATTTTATGTCCATGGGGAAGAGAGAGAGAGAGAGATTTATAGAGAGAGATATAGAGCATTCCAAAGGTCTTTAGTTAATATTTTTCTTAAGGCCTGGGGTTGGATTTACGGATCATCGGTCTGTTGGCTTGGGGCCATCGCTTATCTTTTCTGTAAAAATTTCTGATATTATTCTGAAAATTTTAGATATTAATATTAGAGTTTCACGGGAAGTTCCAGTTCCGGAAAGTTCCGGTGTTTCGGTTCCGGTGAAACATAAATTACACATATTTAAGGTGATGTCTAAAAATCTACATATCAATTAAAATTAAAAAGACAGACCTTCCACGGAATTCCTGATGTATAGTGTCACTTTTATCATTATAATGTAACACTTTTAGTATCGAATCTCTTAACACTTTACAATTTCCAATACCTCTGTCAATATCTGTCAACTCTTTTTTCAAGATTTTAAAATGTTCAGCACCAAACTTTCTATTATTTTCAACCTTTCCTTTCTTCTGGAACTTTTCTTTTATTTTGCGTTTAAACCCTAAATTTAACCATTTAAATTCTTCGTTTAATACTTCAATAATATCCGTTGTCTTAATCTTCCCTTCAAGATCTTCCTTGCCTTCTTTTCTATCTCTATCTCCCTTTATTCCTTCCATTTCATTAAAAATAAATCTCAACAATTTTTCACTCAATTTCTTTTTCCATTTATTTTCAGAATTTTCCGACAGATCATTGTTTGCTGATTCATTTTCTTCGGGAGGCGGATTAAGAAATTCCTGAGGATTTTTGAAAAATTCTATCAACTCTTCGTATTCTTCCCCTTCAATATTTTTAAACCGTTTGTCTGATGGTTTAATACTCACTCCGAAAGTTGTTTCCTAAATTTTTATTTTAATTAATTGAGATCTTATAATTGTGAAAAAAAAACAAAAATACTTAGTAAATAAGGATGCGGTAAGTCAAAATTTATCAATACTTTGATCACCAATCCACAGAAATAATCAACGATTTACTTACTCGTACTTGAGAAAAAAGCAAAAAATCGTACGAAAGTACAATTTGAATTTTGGTCTCGTACTCGTACTTTGTACCTGCTTATTTTTAACCTTGTACCTCGTAGTTCGTACCAGCCTTTTTTTGCTCGTACTCGTATTTCGTACCTAAGTAAATACAAGTACGAATCTTTGTACGAGCTTCCAAGCAGTGGACAGAACCCATTAAAAGGTTAATTAATTTCAAACGTTTAGACGTGATAAGAATTATTTAGCTAGAAATTATTTATTTACCTTAAGGAATTCAAATACATGCGGTTTATATTCAAGCAACTTCTTGTGACCTTCTTTATCTTTTTTTATTTCTATTTTCTTTTCAAAAAATTTTCTCGCATCATTTTCCCAATTATCAACAATTTTTTTCCATTCACCTATCTGTCCTTTCTTTTCTTCAACTGTTTTATATCCGTTCAGAATTCCTATCATTTTCTTTTCAATTACTTCTTTCTTTTCATAAATTTCTAATTTTAATTTTTTATCAATTGTTAACTTGTCATCTTTCAATTTTTTAAGCTCTGTCATTTCTTTATCAAAATCACCATGTTCCTCTGTTGGTGGTTCTTCCTTCTGCGAGGATATTTGGCTTCCAGTATCATTTTCTTTACCAATTTTTTTCTCCATCCTTTCAATCATATTTTTCAATATCTTATGTATTTTCTGAGAAATCCTTTTAGATGTATTTTTAAATTTCTTTTGTTTTTGAATTTCGTATTTATATTCCATTTCTGGGATTTTTTCAAAATCCAAAATAGAATCCTTTGTGAATGCATTACTGCCCTTGTAAATTGCCTCAAGCAAAACATGTGTACTTAAACGAACATCTCCCTCATCCTCTTCTTCTTCTTCATCATTATTCTCTTCTTCTTTGTTATCATCCTCATCGTCATTCTCTTCTTCTTCCTTCAATAATTTATCATAAACCATTTTCTCTTCGCCATGAACCAACTTTTCCAATTCATCTCCAGAAAAAGACAAAGCGTTGTCGAGCAGAAATGCTTTTCCAAAAATATTTTTTGGCAAAGGAAAGCCAATATTGCATTTATCATTTTCAAATTCTACTTGTTCAAGTTTTCCTCTCATTCCTTCAATTTTATCAATTTTCAAATAAAAATATTCCAATAATTTTGCAACAGTTATATCTTTTGATGTACTATATTTACATCCTTTCTTTGATGTTTCAAGATTTTCATCACTCTTTATTTCAACAAAATCTCCTTCTTTGCAATAAACATCCCCGTCAATAACCTTCGGCATAAAATATTGTGTTTTACCTACCAACTTCTGAACATATGCCGACTCCTCAGAACTTTGTCTTGAAATGAGAGTTTTTCGACCCGAACCACCTAGACTTGCGGAAAAAGCAGTTTGGATCAGACAATTGTAAAATAAGAATAGCAGAAATGATTTTTTCTGCCACATCTAAAGATAGAATAAAATTATGTTTTTATTTTCTCCTAGTTTATATTTATTTTCTCCTATAATTCTCTTAGTTTAAAACTTTTAATAATAAATAACTTTTTAATTACTTAAGGACCTCTTAGAATAATATAAATTATTGCTTTGTTTTAAATAATAGTCGAAAAAGAATAAAAATGCAAGCAATTAAGCGATTATAAATTAAAGGATACAATTTAAAATAGACTGAATTTTGCAAGAATAAAGGGGAATATAAGGAGATTTGGCGAGATTGAGAGGCAATGAAGGGATATGTCTCTTAATCCCTCAATTAAGAGATTAAGAGACATTTTCTTAATCCCTCAATGTTTCTTAATCCCTCAATGTCTCTTAATCCCTCAATATCCATCCCAAACACCCCCATATCCCTCTTAATCCCAAAATCCCTCCAAATCCGTTGCTATCCATCCAATTTACCCGTTATCCCTCTTAATCCCTCAATATCCATTTAAATAAATCTTGATATTCTCTTAATCATTCTATTTTTCTGGTGTCCGGATCCAAATCCGGGTTTTTTCGCGATTTCCAGATTTTTTTCGGACAGTGTTAATCCAGAAAAAGTTGCAAAATCCTTTTTTGCGCCGCAGGCGAAAATTTTAAAAATTTGAAAGTCTTTCACAAAGAATTCATTTATATAAAAATATGACAAACTTTTTTGTTAAAAAATAAGTTTATAATAATTTATTTTCGAAAGAAAAACAATGATTTATTAATTTATTAAGTTCATGTTCGAACCTAATACTATCCTGTCAATCACACATCCTTATGAAAGGTACTTTGTCGAGCCGTACGAGTCTTTTTCAGGCCAAATATCATAGGTCCGACTCGATCTTTGTATCTTTGGAACCGGTTCTAAACCGGTTCCGGCCCTTAACCGATTCCACGGTTCCGGTTCCAAATCCAGACGACATTTATCAGTTCCACGGTTCCACTTACGGAATCTCTCCTCTTCTTGATTTTTGCAAGCTTTTTTTCTTACAAACTTGTCGTATTTCTTACAAGCTTGTCGTCTCTCTGCTCCTTATGATTGCCACGAGCTATTCTTTACTCTCCTCTCTATAATTTGTCACTAGCTTATCGACTCTTTCCTTACCTCGAGGGAAAGAAAGACAACTTACCTTTGTTTGAATCAGAGCTGCACCGAAATTTCGATTTCCGACGTTTTTTTCTTTCGATTTTCTATTTCCGATTTTCGAATTTTCCATAAAATTTCGATTTTCGATAATTTTAATTTTTTTGATTTTCGTTTTTTTGCAAAATTGCAGCATCTTTTCTCTTAATATTTTAATCCTGCGGCGCCAAAAAGAAGAAATCTGGCTTATTGGCCATCAAACCTTCTTAAAATTTTTGCATGCGACGCTGAAACAGGAAGTTTTAGCCTAAGGATCATACAAACGCCTGCAGCGCTGAAAATGGACGAAGTCTGTCTCCTTTGCCTTCCAATTTTCTCAAAATTTTCACCTGCAGCGTTGAAACAGGAAGAAATCTGGCTTTTTGGCCTTCCAAAATTTTCGCCTGTGGCGCGGATGAAAACAATTTTGGCTTCGGCGCATTAAGCTATATAACGGAATTTCATTTATTTTTCAGGGATTTGGAGGGATTCGGTTGATATAGGCTAGATATATAACCCGAATACATGGATATATCGCTCGATATATCTCCCCAAATCTGGATATATCACCCGATATAGGATAATCGTGGATTTGGAAAGTCATCAGTTGTTATAATAATATCAGTAAATTTCAGGTCCCCCCCCCCCAAATATCTGATATGCCCCATCATCTCCAAAAAATCTGGCTTCATGTTCAAATTTTACTAACCCGAACCCAACTTTTTTCTCAACCCGGCCCATCCCTTGTTTAATATTTTTTATTTATTTTTAAAAAAATTTCGATTCTTGACGTTTTTTTCTTTCGATTCTCGATTTTCGAATTTTTTAATATAATTTCGATTTTTAATTTCGATATTTTTGGATTTCTTTCAATTTTCGATTTTCGAAAATTTTTTTGTTTCGACGCAGCTCTGGTTTGAATTCAACAATATTAATAATTTGTATATTTAATATTAATAAGTTTTATATTTAATTTTAAAATTATAAAAGGTTTGTCAATTGTATTGATAAATAGTAACTAAAAACTTGTAAAATTAATAATATTATTTACTAAACACTTTTTTAATGGTTTTGCTTAATTACGAAATACCTTTGTTTTGTTAACAAAACATTGCTATTGTCTCCATGTAAACGCCGACCCATAATTCTGAAGGATTTTTGGCATATTTGGAAAGATATCAATATATTTTTGTGTTTCTTGCGTTGTTTTTTCCCTAAGTTGAGTTTCAAATTTATTTTTTCCACAGCAGTAATATTTTTAATAAGGAACATGTCGAGGTATTTATGAGGATTAAGAGGGTTTAGGAGGATAAGTAGGGCATATTTATGGATTAATAAGTATTTAGGAGACTTAAGATTTTAATACGAGCAAATTCCTTATACCTATCCATTCCCCTTACTCCACCGATATATGCCCAAATACACTCAAGCTTCCTTAACCCTCCATCCTCCAAATCCCCTTTTATCCTCCTTCCAGCTCCACCGATCTCACCCTTAATCCATAATCAAGTTATTATTCCCTTAAAAATTTTTTTGGAAATTTGAAATTGTTTTTAATTTTTAATAATAAAAGAATTAGTAAGCACAACAAATCTTGATTTTACTATGTTGACAAATTTTTTAATTTATTTTAAAAACATTTTTTCATTCTAACAATAAAATATAATTTTATTTCTTGAATATATTTTTTTATAATCTTCATTTATTTCTATACTTCCTCATTTTTATTTATTAAATATTTATGTACACATTTTAATGTTAGTTAAACAATACTAAAATATTCTTTATATAAACATTTTTGATTGAAATGATTTTATAAACAAATTTTATATTTAAATATTAACAATTCTTTTTAATTTTTACAAAAAAATGGTAAGGAATATATTTCAAAATTATCTTAAATTACAGTCATTTACGGAACGAAATTTTCGGATTTAACATTGTAAAGCATACAGCTATTTAATTCCTAAAGCTATGCAGTAGGCGGCGTGGTGTAATGGCTAACACATCAGTCCGGTCTACTGAAGATGCTGGTTCGCTCCCAGTCGCCGATTAATCTTTTGCACTAGCTAAAGGAGAGAAATAGCTATAGCCCAGTTGCTTTACTGCATTAACAAATTCTGTCATCTTTTCTCAAGCTTTTTTTCAACTGATTCTGTTATTAAATTCAATAAAATTCTAATTTAATTTATAAAAGTTTTATTTCTTTAAATAATTTTAAAAGATTATTCAACTCATCTTTATATTCGCTATTGCTTTTGCATGTATGGATCTTGTTACAGCCGCATGTATGTAATTTTTTGACAAGATTACTTAAATTTGATAATTCCAAAAAACCTTATCTTCTTAGAGTTTAGAGCAATAAGAGCCTAATAGTTTATTAGTCAGTAAGTATATCTCGATTCTAAATTTCGGGATTTCTTAAATTGGGGTTGTTCCACATCTCCAAAACTAGAGGAATCTTAGAATTTTTTCTTATTCTTATTGTTTAGTTTCTGCAATAAAAATCCATTGGTTTTAATCTCATAAACTTATACATATTCATAATAGAGGTCATTATTTGACCATAACCATTAACAGGGCTAGGGCTATTTTTTGCCATGAATAATTAAAATTACTTATTAATTTTCATTTTCAATTTAGGTTGTAATAAAATGAAAAATGGAGGAGTGAAGTGCATTGACTGTCCTAAAGGATACACTTGCATGAGGGGTTGGAGTGGTAATTATTGCGGTATTCTCCATGATGAATTGAGGCGAAGAGGATTGCCTAGAAATTAAAACGATTTAAATAATATGCTGAGGAATATATATTTGTACACACATTATCTGTTCAAAGTGATACATTAAAGTTAATTAAATTCATTTGCAAAATTTAATTGTTTTAACTATCTTAATACCAATTTCTTTTTTAAACCGGTTATCCAAAATTTTTGATTTGAATCCCGATTCAGATTATACATAGATTTCCCAAGATCTGCTAACCTTAATCCTACTTTTGAGCATCCAACGTAAGGCCAACTTATGTAGCTCTAACATAACGACCAAATACCCAAAAATTATCTTCCAATTATTAAATTATTGTCAAAATATTTGTTTGTGTTAAAAGAATCTAAAATTCATTTTTGTTCCATACTTATTCCCTTTCCTGCATAATTTGACGGAACTTATATGGTTTGGGTATCCCTTTTTAGCCACGCCCCTTTTTTCCATTTCTCATTGCTTTTTTACTATTTTTCCTTCTCCCCATCAATCAATTCAGCTGAGGTCAATTTTTCGTTTAAGAGGAGGACAGTGAATAAAAAAAGGACAGTGAATAATAGAGCTCATCGAGCCGAGTCGAATAACAAAAGAATCGGTCCTTGATATCTCTGAGCTGAGTTACAGGGTCCAAAAAGTTTAAAAAATTTTTGCACCTTTTTGAAACGCAGCTTATTGTCATTTAAATAACAGAAATAGGTAGATAAAAATAAGAATATTGATTCCAATTTAATTTCTATGTTAATGTCCTTGGAAAAAATGAAACTTTTCTTTGTTTGTCTCTCATTGAACATGCCACAGGGAAAATTGAGTGGAATCGGGAAAGAAGGAAAGGCTGACCGTTCTGTCCATATTAAGGTTGATTGATGATGGAGAAGGAAAAAGGGGCGTGGTTAAAAAAAGGGATACCCAAACCATATAAGTTCCAATTTGACTTTTTTCCTTAGAGCCCAAATTTTCGCCGGAGCCCAAAATTCCGAAAAGTTGAAGCCCAAATTTCAGAAAAATTTTGGAGCCCAAATTTCCGGACACCTAAGCAGCAACATACCTATTAGTACATAGCTTCCAAAAATTTCAGTAAACACAGAATTTGAATAAAAAAAACTGCAGTCTCTAGTAGGATGTTGGGTTCGGATATCCGAGGATTTACACCCATCCGACAACCCTAGTCTTCAGTATAACGACTTTCTCTGATATAAAACGACTTTCTTTCATATTTCTTCTCTTAATTATAGGTAATAAAAATTATTTAAATTTTTATTTTTTCAAATAAAAATTTTCTCATTTAATTTTTTACAATTTTGTCGCTTTAATTGGTGCAATAAAAATTATATATTTATTATTTAAACCTTATGTTGTAAATCTAAAAAACACTAAATTTAGACTTCCGTTTGCCTTATTTAAAATTAAAAACAGGTGTTTATTTAAATATTCTTTTCCCTTTTTAGGGGTTTCTGCGTAGTAGTCATTATGGCGCGGATTTATAAAATTTTTATTAGAAAACCAAAATTAATGAAATTTTGTCTAGTTATTTTAAATGTGTTATCTAATGTTTCTGAAAATTTCAGAATTTTTTGTTAATTATTTCAAAAGTTATGGCTGAAAAGTCTAGACCACCAAAATCGTTTGTAGGTGCTCAAGTTTTTCGATCAGAATTTCCTTATTTTCTGACCAAAAATTCTGAAATTTATAGAAATTTTAGCTAACACTATTAGAAATATTTGAGCAAAATTTGACAGTTCTAGGCCTTCAACTAATAATTTTATAAATGAGCGACGTAGCATCCCCCAACGCCTACAGCGCCTAAATAACCCCACAAACTTTACATTCTTAATTAATTCTAAACTACAAATTATTTTAATTTTAAATATTCATAATTTACAAAAACTTTAGAAAAACTTTCCAGCCATTAGGGTTACTTTAAAGTAAGCAATTTTGTATCTTTAAATAATTTATTAAAATCGGTACATTTTTGAAACACTTGGAATATTAAAAAGGAACTAAAGAAATAAATATTTATTTATAACTTTTTTGAACTAGAACATTAGCTTTTAATAATTTAAAATTTTTAATTCAAAATTAGCCTTTTTCACAATTATACACAAAATATATTTAATTAAAATAATTTGCTTGATAATCTAATTTTACTTATATTTTCTTTAAAAAATATTAAGGACAATAAAAAAAATTTTTTTACTCTGAAATTATCTTAAAACAGTTTCTCTTCAGTTTATTTAAAGCAATTCAACGAGATCTTCTCGCTAATTATTTACTTCCCTTCCCCCCCCCCCTCCATTCAATTTTTTCGGTAAGCAAGTAAAATGTGTCGAATGACACCAAAATCAACCCCAGGCTTAACTTTAGGCCGAGATACAGACCCCCGAAAATTGAAACAGGGAACCTTTCCTCCTCTAAATTTATATTTGGGCCCAATACAAAATTTATTTAAATTTTTAATTAATCCCCACTTTTTTAATAAATCTAAAATGTTTTTTTATATTCTTTAATGAAAAACAAATAATCTAAAAATAACTTTTATTAAAGTACATTATTTACTTGTCAAATAAATGCCCATTTTTGGAGAGTTGGGGAAAATAAATTGCGACATTTGTTATTCAGGAAGTTTTAACTTTTTTTTGTAAGAAATTTAGAAAAATAAATATAAATTTTTTGTTAAAATATATTTATTTTTAAATTAATTTACTATTTGAAAAATTTTATTTTTTCAAAATAATTCTTAAATAAATTTTTTTGTAGTAAATAATTTTAATAGTACCTTTAAATTATTAGGTTGAGCAATAAGTTTTGTCGGTTTAGCATGTTTTTTGGATGAATACTTTATCGATATGCATGTTCTTTATACCATTCTAAAGCTTAATTCGTATCTCCTTTGACATGTTTCAGCGTTTTTAGAAAAGTTGTAAATTTCTGAGATAGGTATACGCGGATAAAAAGGATATGGTCTGATATGTCAAACCCGGATCTGGCTAAATAAATTTTTTAGAAAATATCAATTAATTTATTACAATTCCAAAGATTTTTCTGAGCTAGGACAAAAAACAAAATTTGAGAATCCTTTGTTTGAACAGATATTCATCCAGAAACATTCCAAACCGACAAAACTTATTGCCCAACCTAATAAATTTTGTAACTTTAGTTTTTTCAATTTTTAAAATTTCCAAAACTTAACCACCCCAAATTTAATAAATTTTTACAAAAACATTTTTTAGTTTCTATTTTTAATTTTTATTTAACTAAAGAAAAATATTATTTTTCTGTTTTTTAATTGCTTACTTAATTCAAAACACACTTAATTAATTTAAAAAAAATATTTTTAATTAATTGTGTAAGAAAAACCCCTTTTTTTAAATATTTAACATTTAAAATAAAATCAAAAATCACCACCTCTTTTATTTTATTTATTTTTAGTATTTAATAAATAATAAATAAATTTTGTTACTTAACACAAAACTTTGTGTATTTAATGGAATATATTTTAAATATAACATCATTACATACACAAAAATTTCTTTAAATAAATAAAACATTTATTAATGCCAAATCGAAATTCTCATGCCACAGCAAAGCGGTGCAAGCATTTTTTTAGTTTTTAAAGAAAAGTTTTGGATTTTTAGAATATTGCCATAAAAGTTTATTTTTAAAAGTTTTATGATCTAAATTTGAAAAAATTTTTAATTTTTATTTATGAAGGAAATAAAATTTTTTAAAAATTCTGATTAATATTAAAACTACATTTTTATTATATACT